GCTTGTACAATTACACTAAAAGAGCTTTTACTGGATAAAACACTCAATCAGATACAGAAGACAGATTGTGTGCAACAGCTAAATTTGATCATGTCAGTTATTTAGAAGCCGTAGATATTAGTGTATTAAATACGGCTTAGTTAAAACACCATTTATTGGTTTCATGTAAATGTTCTCAGAAAAAGGTTTTCTCAAAGTTATGAACAAACATTCTTCCAGCAACAGAACGTTTGTTCAGTTCGTCTTTTCCCAAAACGTTACCACAAAATGTTTTATGAAGCATTTTAGTTGGATGTTCCTCTAACTTTTTTAAACCTTAATAAAAGTTACACTTTTCAGATTTGTTTGAACAACACTCAAAAGTAACATTCCCAGAATGTTCGCAAAATTATCAAATGGAATGTTCCTTTAAAGGTTTCTTTCACGTTCACATATAACCAAAATATATATATATAAATATATATATATATATTCAGAGAACATATTAAAAAAAAAAACATTTTCATAACTTAACAGGAAGCTCTCCTGTCCACTCGATCATATGTTTTTGGTATAGTTCATATCGGAGCATGTTTTAATCATCATGTGCTTGTGTGTTAGTGAGCAGCTGAGGGAGAATGTGTCTGAATAGTGTTCATGCCTGTGTGCTAAATATACAGACAGCTGCTGTCTCACTCATCTGTCCAGCCTTCATTCCGCCATTTTCACCGTCTGTCTGCCATTGAGCGAGCGCCTCACCTCAGGGCGAAACGCGGGAAACATTCGCGCTTCTTGACAGAAAGTTCGAGCGAGCCAAACTTCGCCCGTCTTCCTCTTTTAATAAGTTAATTAAAGTCCCACGGCGTGGGCACAATATGCCTCTCTGTGCCCGCCGGAGCGTACCGACACTCATTGGCTTTCTCCCTCAAATCCCCTCAGATTTATTAAAAATACCCAACTACATGAATCAGTTCTGTCTGAAAAGGAATCCAGGCGAAGCGCGGACGACGATTTCTGTCACTGTGATTAGACAGAGACGGATGCCAAATCCACAGATTGACGGTTTTTCTTAAGGGGCTCATTTGGCACGGAAAGAGAGAGAGAGAGAGAAAGAGAGAAGGCACCCACACACAGCGTTCCCGTGCTTTCTTTATTCCACTTGTATCGCAAAAACTAAAATTACCGCCGGATTAACGGCTTTCACACAAAGGAGGCGTCAGGTCCCTGATAGCATGCATCACAGAGATGTCTATTTGTGACCCTGGACCAGTCATAAGGGTCAATTATACAAATAATACCTGAAAGCTGAATAAATAGCTTTCCACTGATGTATGGTTTGTTAGGATCGGACAATATTTGGCTGAGATACAACTATTTGAAAATCTGGAGTCTGAGGGTGCAAAAAAATCTAAATATTGAGAAAATCATCTTTAAAGTTGTTCAAATGAAGTTCTTAGCAATGCATATTACTAATCAAACATTAAGTTTTGATATATTTACAATAGGAAATTTACAAAATATCTTCATGGAACATGATCTTTACTTAATATCCTAATGATTTTTGGCATAAAAGAGAAATGTATAATTGTGACCCATACAATGTATTGTTGGCTATTGCTACAAATATCCCCCAATGTAAGATGTCAGTTTTACATACATTCTAAATCATAAACATCTTAAAGACATCTAATGGATGTTTATTTGACATCTGATAGGATGCAAGTGAGCAAACACATCTTCCAGATGTAAATGCAGACGTCTGATAGACATCTCCGTGATGTACGTGTGCTATCAGGGGAAGCTCGTAGGTGATGTGAAGGTCTTACGAGGGACTCTCTGATGTCTGCAGAAACGAGACGAATACTAATGAACCCGACCGCACAGGTCTGTTATTGAAAAGCAGCCCGCGTTCAGGTGTGTTCGGATCAACAACGCCTCTAATTAATTAAAAGATGAGCGCTTAATGACTTTTTAATTAATATTGATTCATTCAACTTGACTGGCATGTCAAAAAATATGCATGAGGGGATCATCACAATAAAGCACAGGAGGCGCCCTGAAAATTTGTTTGGCTGCGTCCAAAATCGCATATTTTTACCGTATTTTTTATGGTATTCATTTTTTATTTGAATGTGCGAGACTTTCTGTGTCATTCGATTATGGTGTAGAAGCCCATTTCCAACACTGAATTAAAAAAAATTTAAAAATGAAATTGCGTTTTGTCTTTAAATCTCACAATTCAGAGAAAAAAAGAATTGCGAGAAGAAAATTCACAGTTACCTTTTTAATTTGAATTCCATGAAACGGAGAAACAGAATTGTGAAATGTAAACTTCTAATATCTTGCAGTTCTATTACTTTTTCTCAGAATTGTGAGTTTATGTCGTCGTTTTAACTTATTTTCTCAGAATTGTGAGTTTATATCTTGTAGTTTTAACTATTTTTCTCAGAATTGCGAGATAATATCTTGTAGTTTTAACTATTTTTCTCAGAATTGCGAGATAATGTCTTGTAGTTTTAACAATTTTTCTCAGAATTGCGAGATAATATCTTTCAGTTTTAACTTTCTCAGAATTGCGAGATAATATCTTGTAGTTTTAATTATTTTTCTCAGAATTGCGAGATAATGTCTTGTAGTTTTAACTATTTTTCTCAGAATTGCGAGATAATGTCTTGTAGTTTTAACTATTTTTCTCAGAATTGCGAGATAATATCTTGTAGTTTTAACTATTTTTCTCAGAATTGAGAGATAATATCTTGCAGTTTTAACTTTCTCAGAATTGCGAGATAATGTCTTGCCATTTTAATGTATTTTCTCAGAATTGCGAGTTTATATCTTGCAGTTTTAACTCTTTTTTTTCTCAGAATTTATTTTCTCAGAGTTAATATCTCATCCTGCCAGACTTTTCTTTTGTATCATGAAGTACCTATGAGTGAAATGGATTAGAAAAAAAAGAACAAATGCAGGGCGGGGCTTGGTTCTGTGCATCAGTTGTTGATTGGATGTTG